GATGGACCAATAGACCCTGGAAACCACATTAGACCCTAATAGAGTAATTTAGACCCTGTATATTGCCTGTTGGACCTAATGGATGATAGCTACAGCCCGTGATGCTTAGTTCATTTGTTGTGGTGCTAATATATATGCACCATTAAAGAACTTGACATCTTGGCCTAGTACACCGAACCATTAAGTCTGATGGACCAATAGGCCATAGAAACCAGATATGACTACACCAGAGTGATTAAGACCCTACACTTTAGTTTTTGGACATTAAGGAACATAGCTGCTTCCCATGGTGCTTATTATTTTTTGGTGGTCCTTACAAATATATTAGACGGGTGGACATCTTCAACTTGCAGACGATTTTAGCAAGTCTGGTGGACCTATATGGTGTGTTTATCAGATTAGACACAAACTGAGTGCTTTAGACCCTGGACCTTGAAGCTTAGACCTATTGGAGGCTAGCTGCTGATCATGGTGCTTATTTCCTTTTGGTGGTGCTTATAAATAGATGAGATGGATGGACATCTTTAACTTGTTGACTTCTAGTATTCTAGAAAAGCTGGTGGACCCCGTTTAAGTGCTTTAGACCCTGGACCTATAATCTTATATCAATTGAAGGATAACTGCTACCCGTGGTGCTAAATTCGTTTTTGATGGTGCTTGTATTTTTCGTCAATGAAATATACCCAAAGAGACCCCTGGACTTCATGCGTCTGTGAACCAATGAGTCTTACAAACCAACTTAGAACCTAAAAGAGTGTTTTAGACATCTGAAACTGTCTGATGGACCAATAAGAGGAAAGCTACCTCCCGTGGTGCTTAGTTCGTGTTTTGTGTTGCTTATTTCTGTAATGAAATATACCCTAATAGACAGGTACATGTGGACCAATGGGCCTTACAAACCAACTTAAAACCTCAAAGAGTATTTTAGACCCCTATACCCGTCTGTTGGACCAAATGGGAGGAAGCTATCTCCCGTGGTGCTAAGTCCGTTTTTGGTGGTGCTTATATATGTATTTATTTAGATATATACCCTAAAAGACCCATGGACTTGTAAGTTGGACTACAGGTGTATGTGGACCAATGAGCCTTACAAACCAAGTAAGACTCCCAAAGAGTATTTTAGACCCTTTTACCCGTTTGTTGGACCAATGGGAGGGAAGCCACCTCCCGTGGTGCTAAGTTCGTTTTTGATGGTGCTTATATCTGTATTTAATGAAATATACCCTAAAAGATCCATGGAATTGGAAGTTGAACCACAGGTGCCTGTGGACCAATGAGCCTTACAAACTAACTTAGACTCCCAAGGGCTGCTTTTAACCCTTTTACCAGTCTGTTGGACCAATTGGAGGGAGGCCACCTTCCATGGTGCTAAGTTCGTTTTTGGTGGTGCTTATATCTGTATTTATTTAGATATATACCCTAAAAGACCCATGGACTTGTAAGTTGGACTACAGGTGTATGTGGACCAATGAGCCGTACAAACCAACTAAGACTCCCAAAGAGTATTTTATACCCCTACAACCGACTGCTGGGCCAATGGGAGACAAGCTATCTCCCGTGGTGCTTAGTTCATTTTTTGTGGTGCTTATATCTGTATTTTATAATGAAATATACCATAAATGATCCATGGACTTGTAAGTTGGACCAAGGGTTCCTGTGGACCAATGAGCCTTACAAACCAACTAAGACTCCAAAAGAGTGTTATAGACCCATAAACTCGTCTGTTGGACAAATGGGAGGGTAGCCACCTCCCGTGGTGCTAAGTCCGTTTTCGGTGGTGCTTATATTTTTCTTTAATGAAATATACCCTAAAGGACCCCATGAACTCGTAGATTGGACCACAGGTGCCTGTGAACCAATGAGTCTTACAAACCAACTAAGACTCACAAAGAGTATTTTAGACCCCTATACACGACTGCTGGGCCAATAGGAGGGAAGCTATCTCCCGTGGTGCTAAGTTCATTTTTGGTGGTGCTTATATTTTTCTTCATTGAAATATACCCTGAAAGACCCCATAGACCTGTAGATTGGACCCCAGGTGCCTGTGGACCAATGAGCCTTACACGCCAAGTAAGACTCCCAAAGAGTATTTTAGACCCTTTTACCTGTTTGTTGGACCAATGGGAGGGAAGCCACCTCCCGTGGTGCTAAGTTCGTTTTTGGTGGTGCTTATATTTTTCTTTAATGAAATATACACTAAGAGACCCCTTGACTTGTGTAGATTAGACCCCAGGGGCCAGTGTCCTAAGATAAGACCCCAGGGGCCTGTGTCCTAACGAGCCTTACAAACAAACTTAGACTCCAAAAGTGCTTTAGACCCTTATACACGTCGATTGGACCAATGGGAGGGAAGCTACCTCCCGTGGTGCTAAGTTCGTTTTTGGTGGTGCTTATATTTTTCATTAATGAAATATACACCAAGAGACCCCTGGACTTGTGTAGATTGGACCATATGTTCCTGTGGACTAATGAGCCCGACAAAAACACTAAGACCCCAATAGAGTGCTTTGGACCATTATACACGTCTGTTAGGCTAATGGGAGGGAAGCTACCTCCTGTGGTTCTAAGATCGTTTTTGGTGGTGCTTAAATTTTCTTTAATGAAACCCCTGGATTTGTGAAGATTGGACCATATGTGCCTGTGGACTAATGAGCCCGACAAAAACATTAAGACCCCAATAGAGTGCTTTAGACCCTTATACACGTCTGTTAGACCAATGGGAGGGAAGCTACCTCCTGTGGTGCTAAGTTCGTTTTTGGTGGTGCTTATATTTTTCTTTAATGAAATATACACCAAGAGGACCTGGACTTGTGAAGATTGGACAATATGTGCCTGTGGACTAATGAGCCCGACAAAAACACTAAGACCCCAATAGAGTGCTTAAGACCCTTATACACGTTTGTTAGACCAATAGGAGGGAAGCTACCTCCTGTGGTGCTAAGTTCGTTTTTGGTGGTGCTTATATTTTTCTTTAATGAAATATACACTAACAGATAAGAGACCCCTTGACTTGTGTAGATTAGACCCCAGAGGCCTGTGTCCTAACGAGCCCAACAAACAAACTTAGACTCCAAAAGAGTGCTTTAGACCCTTATACACGTTGGTTGGACCAATGAGAGGGAAGCTACCTCCCGTGGTGCTAAATTTGTTTTTGGTGGTGCTTATATTTTTCTTCGATGAAATATACACTAAGATGCCCCTTGACTTATGTAGATTGTACCATATGTGCCTGTGTCCTAACGAGCCAAGTAAACCAACTGAGACCCCATAAAGAGTGCTTTGGACCCATATACCGTCTGTTGGGCCAATGAGAGGGAAGCTACCTCCCGTGGTGCTAAGTTCGTTTTTGGTGGTGCTTATATTTTTCTTTTATGAAAACCACTTGACTTGTGTAGGTTAATTCCCCTTAATTTCTATAGATCAATTATTTATTAATTAAATATATATTTTAAATTTATTTGATTTAGACATATAAAGATACAAGTTAAATTATTACTTAAACTGTTTTATTAATTTACTTTCATGTTTTATATATTGTATTAAGAATATTCATTTATTCAACTTTTCTTTAGTACCTTCTATGTTCAAGTTATGAAGATTAATGACATCATTAGGCATTTCTTTGTTACAGTCTGCCAAGCTTAATGCCTTGAAAGCTAATGGGAGAACAATTTCTACCCGTGTTGCTAAATATTAAATTGGTGGTGCTTACATTTTTATATTGTAATTATACCCATGGACTCGAAATCGAACCATAGGTGCCTGTGTACTAATGAGCTTAACAAACTAACTAAGACCCTAAAAGAGTGCTTTGGACCCATATACCGTCTGTTGGACCAATGGGAGTGAAGCTACCTCCCGTGGTGCTTGGTTCAATTTTGGTGGTGCTTATATTTCTCTGCAATGAAATATACACTAAGAGACCCCTAGACTTGTATAGATTGGACCATAGGTGCCTGTTGACTAATGAGCTTAACAAACCAACTTAGACCCCAAAAGAGTGCTTTGGACCCTTATACACGTCGGTTGGACCAATTGGAGGGAAGCTACATCCCGTGGTGCTAAATTTTTTTTTGGTGGTGCTTATATATTTTACTTGAAGGAAATATACACCAAAAGACCCCTGGGCTTGTAGATCGGACCACAGTTGCCTGTGGGCTAATGAGCCTTACAAATAAGATTAGGACTCCAAATTGTGTTTTAAACCCATATACCCGTCTGTTGGACCAATGAGAGGGAAGCTACCTCTCGTGGTGCTAAGTTCATTTTTAGTGGTGCTCATATTTTTCTTTAATGAAATATACTCTCAGAGACCCCTTGACTTGTGTAGATTATACCCCCAGGTGCCTGTGTCCAAACGAGCTCAACAAACAAACTTAAACTCCAAAAGAGTGATTTAGACCCATATACCGTCTGTTGGACCAATGGGAGGGAATCTACCTCCCATGGTGCTAAGTTCGTTTTTTGTGGTGCTAATATTTTTCTTTAATGAATACACTAAGATGCCCCTGGACTTGTGTAGATTGGACTACAGACTAACTTAGACCACAAAAGTGTGCTTTAGACCCATATACCCGTCTGTCTGACTGACCAATGGGAGGGAAGCTACCTCCCGTGGGGCTAAGTTCATATTTGGTGGTGCTTAATTACTGTAGTCCATATACAGATTTTTATTTTTCTGTTTTTATTATTTCTATTCTTACTTTTCATTTAATAATTATTTTCATGTATCGTTATCTCTCTCTTCCTGTCTATTAAATAACTCATAGTTGCCTAAATGTATTTATTTTACTGATTAAGTCGGTGGTGCTAGTAGTGGTTCTTCGTGGTAGAATCGGGGGATATTATAACTCCTTTTTTCAGAATGAAATATCGTATCTCACTACAGGAGATTTATTTTGGAAGGGAGAACTAAATTTACTTTTTTTAACCTAAATATTTTAAAATGCTTGTTTAGGTCAAAAACACAGTAATATTAAAATTAACACGTTTTTTAAAATCATTAAAGATTATATTAAAGAAAAAAGAGCAAAGTTCACGTAGATTTGAAAATGAAAGTAGATTATTCTAGAACAAAATAAGAGATCCCCAAAATGGTGGTAAGCATACTTTCACTTTGATGAGAATAATAATCTTACTGTTTCTATAGATCATTATCGATATATTAGTATTATTGATATGTACACAAGATATGTCAGATGGTAGATACGGACTGCATTATTCTCATAATTCATCTTCATGAAAAGTATCTGAAAATTTTCAACGTGCTGTGTACTTTTTTTATAGTAGAGAAGCTGATTCCAATTTTCAAGTCTTTAGTTTGAATAAAGGTATGCCAACTTGCTTCACTAATGAAAAAAAAAGAAGAATTAAACGGTTCTGCATTAAGGACTACCAACTCACACCACATATGAAAAGGAGTTTAATCCCAACGATTGAAGGTTTGCCTGTCACGGAATAGAAGTTCCTTCATAATATAAGTTCCAAATGGAAACAATATAATTTCTGGAATATTATTTCCACTGGAATAAATATTACAGTATTAAAATGTTCCTAACGGAATAAATGGTATAGAATATGTGTTCCAACAGGAAAAGATATTATGACATTGTTTATAACAAAGTTTCCAGTGGAACTTCTGTTAGATGGAACAAATAATTACATTGACATGCTAACTTGACCCACTGATGAAAAAAAATATCTTACTGCATTCAGGACTACCACTTTCATAAGTGGGGCGAGTAAGCAGGACTAAATTCAACAGGATTTTACCCTTTTTCATAAGTGGAGTGAGTTTGTCATGGATTCCTAATTACAGTTAGCACTTTAATACCTTATATAAGTGCTACTACACTGTAGAGGGTACTCCAGTATCAGAGAGACTTTTGAATTCAAAATGTCCAAAATTACAGAAAAAAGTATAACCCCTTTGTGCGATAAATATAAAATAAAGCTTATACTTAATAATAAATCTTCCAAGGCACTAAAACTATATCTTCCTCTTTCGTAACAAATTGTTTAAATGCGAGAAGTAATCTATTGCAAAAGATTTTTATTATCCAGTATTTTATATTCACATAATTGTTTGTATTTTACTACCATGTTTATCCATTCGGTCATTACCATTTATTGTAAATGTGTTTGTGCCAATAAAATATTGTCTATTGTCTATAAATATCTTTTTTTCACACATTTTCAAACTTGTTGACATTATGACTATAAGAAGATATGAGGTAAGTATTAATGAAACAGCAACGAAAGCAACAACATGAAATCAAAATATGAAGTGAACATTTATGAGAAAGCAACAAAGCAACACAATAAAATCAAAAGATGAGGTTAGTGAGACAGCAAAACTATAAATTATTATAGGAGGTGAACATTAGTGAGACAGCATAACATCAAAAGATTAGGTTAACATTAAGGCAGTGTCTGCGCGTACCCGCATGCGGGTACGAATAGTCAAATTGCCATTCATAGGCTACGCGTACCCACATCCGGTTTTATAATAAAATTCCATCGGATCGGGAATGAAACGTGAGACATATACCGAAATTATCGATAATATGGGGATTTCGTGTAGAATGAGTGAAGAGTATGAAAAATAATATTTTCAAATTGTATTTATTAGATAATGATACATAATAAAAACATTGCAAATTAAATGCACACTGATGGAAAATGAAACTGTACAGTCCCTGTAAAAGAAAAACATGATAAAAATTAATACTATTATAAAATGTGCCGTTTTCAAGATGGTCAAATAAACATTTATTGATCTCATGATTTTGAGAACTGTGTGATTCCCTCACAATCAGGTTTTGTCCATCTTTAGTTACGCCAAGTTTAAAGCGGAAAGGACATTCCATTTGGAAAGTACTGAAAGTAGACATATCCTTAATATCATGAACGGTTTAATTACAACAGAAAAACTAGAAGTATTCGACATAAAAAAAATAAACCTGACTAATGAATGAAACGCGGCAAACTCGATTAAAAACTATAATTTAAAACAATATTAATACCTTGTATTAGGTCTTTTTCCTGTCGAACTTGTTTGGAATTTTTTGCCACCGTGAATACAGGAAAAATTTATTCTTTAACAGAATAACTTGATTCCTCTTTAATTTTTGTGTTTCCAGTTCTTCTTTTTTCTGCAGCTGCAATCAGGGACTTTCTATACTATAGTATAGAAAGTCCCTGCTGCAATTGACTCCGAGTTTCTTTTATACAATTGTATAAAATTAATCGACTGATAGTTCTGAACAAATAGTTCCAATTCATGATAACTTTGAAATGTCTTCCCACATGTATATCACTCTCTTCCATTTTAAGAATATTTATTAACTGAGAAAAACTGTTCACTTACCTATATATAAATATTTATAAAAATTCTAAGTAGTTTTAATCAATTTATTCACTAATTGCGACAAATTTCGTATATATTTCACGTTTCATTCATGTGGGTACGCGTAGCCTATGAATGGCAATTTGACTATTCGTACCCGCATGCGGGTACGCGCAGACACTGCCTAACATTAATGATACAGCAACATCATAAGATCAAAAGATAAGAAAAACATTAATGAGACAGCAACCCAACACCACATTAAAATCAAAATATGAAATAATAGAGACAGCAACCAAGCAAAACAAGAAAAACAAAATATGAGGTGAATATTAATGAGATAGCAACCCAGCAAAATGATAACATCATTATATGAGGTGAGCAGTAAGGAAACAGCAACCCAGCAACACAATAAAATCAAAAAGATGAGATGAAAATTAGTGAGACAACTACCCAGCAACACAATATAATCAAAATATCAGGTGAGCATTATTCAGCAGTAACTCAATTAAATCAAAATGCAAGGTAAAATTTATGGAGACAGCCGCACAACAACAACAATGAAAAATTTTCTTATTTTAATATGTATTAAAAGATACATATACTAGAACACACCTGCAACATCGCAAGTCTGTGACTGAATTAAAGTACCTACACATTATTTTTAGCTTGGATGTTTAGTATTGGTATTGTCATCTGATAAAGTCATGCTGATTATAAGGTGCACAGTTTATCTGTTATCAAAATTTTGTTGACCCGGAACTTGTTGATTATTGGTAATATTAATTACGTGGAAAAAATGGCCTGGAATGGTATAATTTTTAATCAACACCATTGTTCTTTATTAGTTATATATAAAGTTGCATTCTTTGATTCATCATTTTTATTATACGACCGCAAAAATTAAAAATTTTTTGGTCGTATATTGGTATGACGTTGGCGTCGTCGTCCTCGTCGTCGTCGTCGTCCGAAGACACATTGGTTTTCGCACTCTAACTTTAGTTTAAGTGAATAGATCTCCATGAAATTTTACCATAAGGTTCAATACCACAAAAGGAAGGTTGGGATTGATTTTGGGGGTTATGGTACCAACAGTTAAGGAATAAGGGGCCAGAAAGGGGCCAAAAATAAGCATTTTTATAACTTCCAGACATAACTTGTGTGTTAGTGTATGGATCTCTCTGACATTGTACCACAAGGTTCAATATCACAAAGGGAATGCTTGGATTGATTTTGGGGTTAATTGCCGCAAAATTTTAGGAATTAGGGGCCAAAAAGGGGCAAAAAAACAAGCATTTTTCTAGTTTCATGATAATAACTTGTGTGTAAGTATATGGATTTTTCTGAAATTGAATTACAAGGTTCCATATCACAAAGGGAAAGCTGGAATTGAGTTTGGGGGTAATTGCTCAGAACGTTTAGGAATAAGGGGCCAAAAAGGGGCCAAAAATAGCATTTTTCTAGTTTCCAGACAATAACTTGTGTTCAAGTGTACGGATCTCTCTGAAATTGTACTGCAAGGTACCATACCACAAAAGGAAGGCTGGGATTGATTTTGAGGGTAATTGCCTCAAAATTTTAGGAATTAGGGGCCAAAAAGGGGCAAAAAACAAGCATTTTTCTAGTTTCAGGACAATAACTTGTGTGTAAGTGTATGGATCTTAATGAAATTGTAATACAAGGTTCCATATCACAAAAGGAAAGCTGGGTTTGAATTTTGGGGTAATTGCCCTAAACGTTTAGGAATTTGGGGCCAAAAAGGGGCCTTAAAACAAGCATTTTTCTAGTTTCCAGACAATAACTTGTGTTCAAGTGTATGGATCTCTCTGAAATTGTACTGCAAGGTACCATACCACAAAGGGAAGGCTAGGATTGAGTTTGGGGGTAAATGCCTCAAAATTTTAGGAATAAGGGGCAAAAAAGGGGCAAAAAACAAGCATTTTTCTAGTTTCAGGACAATAACTTGTGTGTTAGTATATGGATCTTTATGAAATTGTACTACAAGGTTCCATATCACAAAGGGAAAGCTGGAATTGAGTTTGGGGGTAATTGCCCAAAACGTTTAGGAATAAGGGGCCAAAAAGGGGCCAAAAATAGCATTTTTCTAGTTTCAGGACAATAACTTGTGTTCAAGTGTATGGATCTCTCTGAAATTGTACTGCAAGGTATCATACCACTAAAGGAAAGGCTGGGATTGATTTTGGGGGTAATTGCCTCAAAATTTTAGGAATTAGGGGCCAAAAAGGGGCAAAAAACAAGCATTTTTCTTGTTTCAGGACAATAACTTGTGTGTTAGTGTATGGATCTTTATGAAATTGTACTGCAAGGTTCCATATCACAAAAAGAAAGCTGGATTTGAGTTTGGGGGTAATTGCCCAAAACGTTTAGGAATTTGGGGCCAAAAAGGGGCCTTAAAACAAGCATTTTTCTAGTTTCCAGACAATAACTTGTGTTGAAGTGTATGGATCTCTCTGAAATTGTACTGCAAGGTACCATACCACAAAGGGAAGGCTGGGATTGAGTTTGGGGGTGATGAATCATAAGGGGGTTTAAAAAATTTAGTGGAGGGATTTTTTTTTCTTTAAAATTTTCCATTTTAAATTGGTTATTTCTGATTTATATATAAAAGCAAATAATAATGATATGGTTTGAATAGGTAAATTAAAAAATTTTAAGTTCTTAGACCACTTTCATTCTGTGTCAGAAACCTATGCTGTGTCAAATATTTAATCACAATCCAAATTCAGTGCTGTATCAAGCTTGAATGTTGTGTCCATACTTGCCCCAACTGTTCAGGGTTCGACCTCTGCGGTCGTATCAAGCTGCGCCCCAGCGGAGCATTTTATATGTCATGCAGTCTAACAAATTGGAAAGTACCTACGCCTCAATTTTAGCCTGGATGTTTAGTATTCGTATTGTCATCTGATAAAGTCATACTGATTATTAGCGCTAGGTGCACAGTTTTCTCTGCTTTCAACTTCTTTCTGTTTGAATCCGTCCTGGTTTTCTTATTACAACTGGAAACTACATGTGACATATACTATGGGTATTGGTATCTGATTCTACCCAAAACTTGTTAATTATTGGTAATATTAATTATGTGGAAACCAAAAGGGCCTGGAATGATGTAATTTTTAATAAACACCATTGTCCTATATTAGTTATATCTAAAGTTGAATTCCTTGATTCGTCATTTTTACTTCATGCCGGTTAACAAATTGGACCTCGTTATTTTAGTAGTATAGATATATATATGTTGAATCTGTTTTCAAACTTTAGGAAGATATTGATATTGATATGATGAAGAACTTTTTAAAAATTAATGACATTAATTAAAAAGTAATTCTTCAGCACAAAACATGTAAAAATATCAACAGTCAGTATTCCTTTAGTCAGTGTGGTCTTGTGTTTTGGTTTTATGCCTCCTCCCACATATGTGTTTGGAAAGGCTGATACATTTGTGTGTTAAAAAGGAAGAAGAATCATTTGATAAAGATATACTTCCTAAACAAAACTCCATGCGGTATAATCATAAATGTAACTTTGAATTCTTTTTTCCGTATAGAAAATTGGCCTCCAGTTTAAAGCAGAATTGGAAAACATAACAAACTTGAGGCCTGAAGGAGAAGATTTCAGATGGTATGTAAGGGTAAGTTCATTTTTAGCTCATCTCGTCAATTGATTCCATTTAGGAGTTATTACCTGTGAATAGTGATCCCTCCCCCCTCCCTTTGTGTTTTTGGCAATTATCTTGAAAACTAAAAACATATAATCAATATGACAGAAATATTTATAGATGTTTAGTTGGAGTTGTAGCCCTTTGAAGACAATTTTTATCCATTGGCTATTATCTTGAAATTTATAATAGAAAAAGAGAAACTGTCAACAGCAAAAATTTTCAGCAAGACAGGACTGACAAATGCTTATTAATCAGAAAATCATCAGTTAAATTTCATAGAAGTTATTACCCTTGAATGAATTTTTTTTTACCAATTATTACATTACCTCATATCCAGAAAAGTAGTATTGATAGACAGAAGCTGTAAACAGCAATGACGATAACAAAATTACAAAAAAAATGACAGAGTTATTGCCAATTTTTTATGTTTTGGCTGTAAACTTGAAAATTATAAGATATAGAGAAGAACATTGACAAGCTATGATGATCAGCAAGACAAGATCTACTCTGAGGTCGACATATATGAAATGTTAATATGCCGTTTCAGAATCTAATGCATTTTGGTAATATTTCCAAAAGCTTACTCCAAAACGTTGTGATTGGTTAAAATCCCTCCAAACAATGAAAATTAATCCAATGACGTGACATGATTTTCATTTTGGGGTACCAACAATGAATAAAATTGAGAATGGAAATGGGGAATGTGTCAAAGAGACAACAACCCAACCATAGAACAGACAACAGCAGAAGTTCACTAACAGGTCTTCAATGCAGCGAGAAATTCCCGCACCCGGAGGCGTCCTTCAGCTGGCCCCTAAACAAATATATATACTAGTTCAGTGATAATGAACGCCATACTAAACTCCAAATTGTACACAAGAAACTCAAATTAAAAATAATACGAGACTAACAAAGGCTAGAGGCTCCTGACTTGGGACAGGCGCAAAAATGCGGCGGGGTTAAACATGTTTATGAGATCTCAACCCTCCCCTATACCTCTAGCCAATGTAGAAAAGTAAACGCATAACAATACGCACATTATAATTCAGTTCAAGAGAAGTCTGAGTCTGATGTCAGAAGATGTAACCAAAGAAAATAAACAAAATGACAATAATACATAAATAACAACAGACTACTAGCAGTTAACTGACATGCCAGCTCCAGACTTCAATTAAACTGATTGAAAGAAACTTACTACCCATAGTCCTTTAGCTTCTGAGACATGGAATTGACTCCTTATGCTTATATGACTATTTTTTACCTATTTCTGCATTTTGAGCCATTATCTTTAAAAGTGTAGTAGACAAAGAGAAATATAAACAGTAAAACAACCAGCAAGACAAGATTTACAAAGATCAAACTTAGTCAAAATTCCAAAGAATAAAAATTTGATGGAAATGGAAGAGATTGCAACATGTTTTTTTTATAAATACCCAATAAGGTTGGGGAAAAATCAACTTTTTCTCTGCATTTTTAAAAATGACTTGAAATTTTATTACTTTTTTTTAATGTTATGTCTTTAACTTCAATCTCAGACTGGTGGATTGAGGTGACATTTTGTTTTCAGAATCAGCCTTAAACATTGTTAAATCAGACCATTTTTACACCAGGTCAATTTTTATGGCAAAAAAAAAGGGATTTCATGCATCAGATCTGCATATTCCCCCAGTGTTCATAGACTTTCTGTCATGTCTGTAGCCAGAAATTTATTTGTGCATGTTAATTTTTGCCCCTGCCGTAGCGGGCATTAAGTTTTACCCTTGTCCGTCTGTACGTACATCCGTCCGTACGTCCCAAAGTTGGTTTCCATTCTCTAACTTTAGTTTGCCTCAACCAAAGGCTATGAAACTTATACAAAATGCTTATTACCACAAAACTCAGATGAAGTACAAATTTGGGTAGTGTCACTTTTAATATTCTTCAGTTTTGTCCCTTTATAACTTTATATGATATGCAAGCCGGGGCATCATCTGTTTCCCATGGACACATTCCCCATTTTTTTTAAAATTATGTTTAGATTGGTCACTTATAGTTTTTGTCTTGCTCGACGGAGTCAAAAAGCGATACATAGGTATGTTTCTGGTGTCGGCGGTGGCGGCGGCGGCGGCATCAACAATGTATTAGTTTGTGATTAGGTCTAGTTTATGGTGAACCACTAGTATTTGGTATGCAGTTGTATTAGCATTGGTTCGTCTCTTTTCAATGGAGATTATTTGGCCCTGCCCCCTCAGTCATGGTCTATTGACTTTGAAACTTTTGCTTAGTTTACATGTACTAGTATTAGTTTGTGATTAGGTCAGTTTATGGGGAACTACTAGTGGTAGGTCAATGATATGTAGTATGCAGTTGTTTAATCATTGGCTTACTTCATTTGCACGGACATTATTTCATACATGTGACAGAGTTGTCAAGTTATTTGAAAATTTTCAGCTGGAGTTTGGGCCTCATAACTGGAGATTTTTTATCAACATATTTATCAAAGTTTGCAGTGTTCATTTTGATGATAAAGCTACAAATTTCCCCTTTTTTTTATGCCCCCGCCGTGGCGGTGGGGGCATTAAGATTTACCCTTGTCCGTCTGTACGTACGTACGTCCCAAAATTGGTTTCCGTTCTCTAACTTGAGTTTGCCTCAACCAAATATTATGAAACTTATACACAATGCTTATTACCACAAAACACAGATCAAGTTTGAATGTTGGTGGCGTCACTTTAACAGTTCTAGAGTTATGCCCCTTTATAAATAGAAAAATGGAAAATTTTTTAGTTTCCGTTCTCTAACTTAAGTTTACCTCAACCAAATGTTATGAAACGTATACACAATGCTTATTACCACAAAACACAGATCAAGTTTGAATTTTGTTGGCGTCTCTTTAACCGTTCTAGAGTAATGCCCTTTTATAAATGGAAAAATTGCAAATTTTTATTTCCTTCTAAATATCAAGTAATTTTTAAAATTGGAGTTATCTTCCTTTGTCCATGATTATAGTTGAATCAACTACAATCAATGCTTTATACAATGCAATGTTTAATTTTGACTTCCACTGATAAAACACAGATCAAGTTGAATTTGGGTAGTGTCACTTTAACCATTATTGAGTTATGCCCCTTTATAAATCGAAAGATTGCAAAATTTTTAGTTTCCATTCTGTAGCTTAAGCTGCCCCAACCAAACATTATGAAACCTATACACAATATTCATTACCACAAAACTAAGATCAAGTACAAATTTTTTGTTTCCGTTTTCTAACTTTTGTTTGCCTCAACCAAATGAAACTTATACACAATGCTTATTACTACATAATACAGATTAAGTACAAAATTTGGTGGCGACACTTTTACCATTCTTGAATTATGTCCCTTTATAAACATAAAAATTGCTGAATTTTTCGTTTCCGTTCTCTAACTTTAGTTTGTCTCAACCAAATGTTAGAAAACTTATACACAACCGTTCTAGAGTTATGCGTGTTTACAAAAACAAAAATTGCTGAATTTTTAGTTTCTGTTTTCTACTTAAGTTAGCCTCAACCAAATGTTATGAGACTTACACACAATGCTTATTACCACAAAACTCAGATCAAGTTAAAATTTGGGTATCGTCACTTTACAGTTCTTCAGTTATGTCCCTTTATAACTATATGATATGCAAGTGGGGGCACCATCTGTGTCCACATGTGGACACTATCCACATTTTTTTTTCTTTTCAAGACAACAGTATTACTATTCATGTATTCTCTCTGTATTGTTACCATGTAAAATATTTGTCAACACTAAGCTCTACTATGTGTATGTAATATTTTCCTTTACACACATTGTCATCTAACTTAGTGTATTCTTTAGTTCCATCATCCATCAATTAAAGGTGTAAATGATTTTTTAATTATTTGATAGCCCATATTTTTAGAATTTGTCAGTTTAGACATATTCACTCACAATTTTACTCATGATGATGGGTTTTTTTATCGACCTTGACTGGCTATACAGCCCTTGCACAGTTGGTTTTTATTTTTATGTCAATATCAGGTCAATACATAAATTATAAATTTTAATTGAAGCATTGAAAAGAAGTATAGATATCTCAATTGATTTTCAAAATATTATTTTTCTATTTTTCCTCAGACATTTCCAATCATTTAATTACCATCCTTATATGATTCTATGTTCAATTTGTATTTCATTTATATTCTTTGATCAATTTACAATATTTTAAGGAGGGTAACCTGTTACCTGTTACCTGTTACCTTTTCTGTAACTTCCACCTTTACCAGATGAACCACTTCGATTGGGAAGTCCTCTTGAAGTAATTAAAAACATGAAAAAACAAGGGAAGTAACCCAAAATTTTCTTTTTAAGTTTTTTTAAATACACAAAGCTTTTATTACATTATGGGAGTTAACCTCAGATTAAAATCATTAATTATTAGTGTGTTTTACACCCAAGCTGTAAACTCAAGCCATATAATTACACAAGTTCTTTGATTTACAGGTAAAAATTACCTTTATCAGTGACACCAAAACATAATCAACAATGATTAATGTTAACATCGATTATAATAAAAAGTAGAGACTGACAAATTTTTTGGGGTTGAAATTTAAAAGTAAAACGAAAGATTTGAATTATTAACGGGAGGGACGGAAGAGGGCTTAAAAATCGGGAGATTTTGACTCCTGATGGAAGAATCACATGTCTGTTATTTGACCTTTCCCCCTCAGTCATGGTTTATTGACTTTGAAACTTTTGCTTAGTTTACATGTATTAGTTTGTGATAAGGTCAGTTTTTTGTGAACCACTAGTCTAGTGGTAGGTAAATGATATTTGGTATGCAGTTGTTTAAGCATTGGCATATCTCATTTCCATGGAGATTATTTGACCCCGCCCCTCAGTCATGGTCTATTGACTTTGAAACTTTTGCTTAGTTTACATACATTAGTTTGTGATTAGGTCAGTTTATGGCAAACCACTAGTGGTAGGTCAATGATAATTGGTATGCAGTTGTATAAGCATTTGCACATCTCATTTCCATGGAGAATATTTGGTCCTTACCCCTCAGTCAAGGTCTATTGACTTTGAAACTTTTGCTTAGTTAACATGTATTAGTTTGTGATTAGATCAGTCAAAGATGAACCACTAATGTTAAGTTAACGATATAAGGTATGCAAATGTATAGGCATTTGCAAGTCTCATTTCCATGGAGACTGTTATTTCCACACCCCCTCATCAGGGTTCATTGACTTTGAAACTTAACATAGTTTACAAGTTAATGTTTGTGTTTAGTATAAAAATAAGATGAGGTATGATTGCCAATGAGTCAACTATCCACCAAAATTCAAATAAAGTGGATGTACGCAATTATAGGCAACTATACGGCCTTCAACAATGAGAAAAACCCATACCGTATAGTCGGCTATAAAAGGCCCTGACATGAAAAATATGAAACAATTCAATTAAAAAAACTAACGGCCTAATTTGGTAACAAAACAATTAACGAAAAAAAATATGACAGACATGAACCAACCACAACCACTATTAAAACTACAGGCTTCTGACTTGGGACAGGCACATAAAGAATGTGGCGGGGTTAAACATGTTTGTGAGCGCTCAACCCTCCTCTAACCTGGGACAGTGGTGTAACAGCACAACATAAGAACAAACTATGAAAATCAGTTGAACAAGGCTTAACTCATCAGATCGACAGGTTTGTTTAAAGGGAATGACTTATGATAAGTATTTGGTATGCAGTTGTATTAGCAATGGCACATCTCATTTCCATGGAGATTGTTGAGCCCTGTACCTTCAGTCATGGTTCATTGACTTTGAATATTTGCATAACTTACATGTTAAAGTATTGCTATTTCAATTTCAACATTTGCATTATCAAAATAACAAAAATGGCGAGACATATCTCTGTGTTAACAGTTTATGTGAATTTATACAAGGAAAATGGATTATAATGAAATATATTTTTCTTATTTATAGCTGAAGTGTATAAGTTGTGGTGAAGAAACTCACGAGTTCCAGTACTTGACATTAACGGTATATTAGTAGATGATTTAATAAAAAAAATTTAATAGTAAAGATTTAAGTCTTCAATATGGACATTTTATGACATTTAATCTTCTTCTTAGTTATACTCTCATTCCTTTTCACCAAAAGTTTTTAAATCAAAAATTTGATTATAGAGAAAGAGTTGAAATGTCGAATTATCTATATAGGTGTTTTGAAAATCATTGAGTGGCTGATCTCCCTCTCAAGAAAATATTTTAATAGAACCTATATCCTATTGTTCCTGTATTTTATCTCACATTTAAGAAGTTAAAATTGTTAAATATATATTTAGAACACACCTTTATATACCTTTTGGCCGGTATTTTTTCATTGAATAATTTAGGTATGTTTCAACTGGTATGTGAGAGAAATTGTATTTGTTATTAGAGACATAGCAGAATTACTTTGTTAACACATGATGCATGATGGATTAAGTTTAATGTCATCAAATTAATAAAGAGTCGGTTTTTGATTCCTATTTATAATCTCTGATTTGAATACAAACTCTTACGTTTAATTTAACATTAGTTATTTGCATTGATAAAACTTTAAAATTTACTTTATCTTAAAGAGATGACAGTTTCGAATTCATGATACCTTTCAACACATATCTTAAATGTCTAAATAACAAAAGAAGTCTGTACTGTTGTGTTAGATCTTCCCTGATCTATTATGTTTTTGTAAAAACCATATCTTCATTTGTATCCTAAGCCCAAACTTTTATAATTAAAAAAGGTAAAACTTCATCCATAAACAAAAAATGAAAGTAGATTTTAGTGATTAATTGGGAGAATGCGGTTAAACAAATAATGAAGTTATTTTTATATTTTTAGGAAAATTCTCCGTTGAAAGGAGGAAGAGGACATGCGAGTTTGGTGATAAAATGTAAACTTTGTAGCCGAGAAAATTCAATAGGTATTACAATGAATAATGAGAAAAATGTTAAATATTTATGAGGAAATGATAAAGTATTCATTATTATTATTTAGGATTGTCTTTGTTAGTAATGTCATTAAGTATCTCAATGAATGAAAAATTAAGTCATGCTATAGGTAAACTTAGATTGTTTACAGTAAATATTACCTTTAAATGACAATAGTTAAATCCAATATTAATTTTATTTTGATGTTAGTATTCACTTTTAATTGAATACTGGTTTTTTAAATTAAATATCAGTGAAGCTAATTTGATATGGTCATATTCATAAATCTATTGTTTCCAAATATTGAATAGCTTAAAATACTAGGGATTTTCGACCCCAGGAATAGATTAACTTAGCTGTTTTCGAAAAAAACCTCTCGTAATTTTGGGTCCTCAATGCTTTAAAACTTATTACTTTATTTGGCCTTTTTTTTACTCAAGATTCACTGATGAGTCTTTTTTAGGTGAAACATGTGTCTGGCACACAAAATTATAAGCCTAGTATCTTTGATGAGTTTTTTTTTCAATATTAAATGTCTGAAATAGTGTGGAAAAGGTTCTAGACATCTTGTTATAGGTATGAGAATATAGACAACAACTTTCTCTTTATTTAGATATTTTAAAAGATACGATAAAGTCATACACTGCTGATGATTCTGGACATCTTAAGACAATGGTTGTGTTTGACTGCCGAGGAGTAGAACCCATAGAATTTTCACCAAGGGTAAATGTCTATTCTCATTTCTGGGGGTCAACTTAAGTCAATTATTGTTACACATGATAAGTTGAAGAAAATAATTTAAAACTCTAATTATTGACTTGGAGTTGCATATATATGTATAGCTTTTCTGTGCTCTTATTTGAAAAGTGTTTTAAAAATTTATTCTAGGTGTATATAAAAATTAGGAGATGTGATGATTGCCAATGAGACAACAATCCACAAGGGTCCAAATGATGTGGCTGTATTGTAAGCAACTTTAGGTCAATATACAGCCTTCAACTATCTTCCCATTGTTATTTGAACATCTTTTTATCTCAGAAATCTTATGTTATGGATTATTAATCTAACATTAATCTAATTATAGCTGTGTAGTACATTAATAAAAAAAAAAATTCTGATTTTAAAGTTTTCTTTTTCTAAGGTTGGATTTGTTGCTGAAGGTGCAGAAAGTGGAGCCAAATTTCCTGAAGTAGAATTAACAGAAGGGGTATGTTTCATATTTTACTTAATACTTTTAATTCTCTGACTTTTTCCTTAGAAATGCAGAAAAAAAAGAAATTCCCAGTAACCCCATTATTATGAAATATTTTTATATTTTAAAAGCAAACTTCTGAATATTTTCTAAATCTTGTTATTTCTACTACACTTTTCATACAGATTTACATTCATTTCTTCACATAAAAATCCATAGACTTCATTTTTTTTACCAAAACATTAAGCATTTTCATTTATGCATTAAAAAAAGGTTCAGATAAATGAACCTGAATGAAAAAGTCCAGATGAACGAACAAAGGTAGATCCAGTTTTTAGTTGCCTTTTATGAAAAGGTAAAGATGATTTTTAAAGAAATTTGGAGCAAATAAGATTTTTTTTTTGGCATTTGTACAGTATAACATTACACATAAACTCTTAAGATTTGTAACATTAAAATTTTTTACAATTTAAAAAGTTTGCTGACATAGCATTTAAAAATTATGTCAACTAAGCATTCATTGACTTCATTCAAGATGATTAAATAATATGTGTATGTTAAATGTGATTTGTAAATCATATATGTTTTCATGTCATTATAATCTTAAATCTTATATTTTAGGAATGGTGTGATTACGATGAGAAGGCCTCTGTTCCTGTTGGAGTTAGTGAACTTGGACATAAATTTATCACAGTCAAATGAATTTGACACGGTGAACAATAGGGAATTTTGCTGATTATGGTGTATTTCTAAGGGGTAAATGTAAGGTGGCATTATGTACACAAGTATTGTTATTTTGGTTATCTAGTACATGATCAAGATTGTAACATTGGGTAATCATTTAGTAACCCTTGATGAATAAAAAGTTACGGTATGCCTTTTCTATGTTGATGGCATGTAAAAAAAACCTGGCATAAACTTAGTGATGCATGGTTGCTTTATTGTTAAAGGATGAAAAATTGTATCTTTGAAAAAATTTTAAATAGACATTTTAATCAGTTTATTACATTTTTCAAGAAAACTGTCAAAGAAGAAAATACCATATAGCTCATACAATACAATGTACAATGTTATCTCTTTTCTTATTAAATTACCGCTTCTAGTTCTATTTTTAGATTTTTTTTTATGGTATATACATACTTATTCTAAGAATCCCATTAAAGGAAATGAAAAATAAATTGGGATGATTTAAAAAAAAACACTGAAAATTACCAGGCAACAGGCGTGTTAGAAATAGAAGTTAGGGTCATAAACAGCCAAATAATATCTAAAACTGAATAACCCATTTGAGTTAATCTGGCAGAAACTTTTCTTAGATAATCGCCTTCGGAATTATATTCAATGACAGTCAAACAACATATCAAAGAACCATTTAATACTAAAATATTAATAAGTACTAGATTGATTATATCCAAATATATTGAGATAAATGTTGCCCACCTATAACTGACTTTCATAAATAATAGATTTATCTGAGAGAACATTTTTTACTGGAGCTTAATAGTAACCTGACTTACCTTAAGCCATTAGTAGCATTTTTTATTACAGAGGCACTGTTTCTGCTGATTGTATATTATATTGCTAAAAAAAGATTTGAAAACAAATCATGAAGGTTCCTTCAAAAGCCTGAAGTGAGCCATCTGTAGTGATGTTTATGTCATGCATCATATGAATAGAATTTTTCAAGGTCATTCAGTCGATCTTTTGAAGAAAAAAAACTATTTCTGTGAACTAATTTCAGCTTAACTGGTAGGAATGATTCTAATGACACCTATAGTATAAATTTCACCTAGTGAGTCACCAACTAACTGACTTTGTTCTTATTATCTTGTTTCCCTACGCCTATATCATTCTGCTCAGCCTTAAAGGAAAGCTGTATGACCTCATGGTGCATTATTTGTTTTACCCAACAATATTAAGTTTGACCTGGAGTTATGCTGTGAAGGCAAGTTACAACACATTGAATCAACTATGTTTTGGATAAAGTAATCAATGTTATATATATAGACAATTAATTTTACAGCATGGACACAGTATGACTCTGTTTGGTTCATTTACATGGCTCCCTGGTAAAAATTGCTTCATATTGCGACTCATGGCTGATATGTTATGAAATCTTTCTGCAGAATCCTTGAAAATTGAACACAGATATATAACATGGATCTCTTTCACTGTGGTATCTTTTGACCTATTTCTTAGATGACTGGACTTAAAATTATATCCAACAAGTTCACTTCCTAAATTTTTTTTAAATCCTCCCATTATAAATTAAGTTTCCAAGATGACCTTACTGGGCTTAGAAGAATTTGGTTATATTTTTATTCCCCCGCTGTTGACAACGAGGGCATTAAGTGTTACCTTTGACTGTCCTTCTGCCTGTCTTTCCGTCCGTCCGTTTGTCCATCTTTCTGTTCATCAGTTTGTCAGTCTTTTTGTCCTTCCGTCCATCCCCTTTTCGTTTCTGCACTATAATTATGCAAATTTTATGAAACTCATACACAATGCTAAGAACCAAAACTAGCAGAATCGAACTTTGGTAGTGAGTCACTTACCGTTCTAGAGTTATGTCCATTTTTAACTTTGAGAATTGCAAAGCTTGAGCGAGGGCATTCATGCCTTCAAACACATTCTTCTTTTATTTATATCCCTTTTGGTCATGTAGCTCCTCTTGTATTACATCAGGTATTTATACATCATTGGCTTTTATATGTTTGGGTTTGAGCACTCCTGATGGAGGTACATCCAGGAAAAGGCTTCTGAGGCTAGAAGTTTAGAAAGTGTTTATTAAACATTCAGTCACGGTCATTACTTAACAGAGGTTTCTAAAAATAAATATTGTATAAAAATAAGGAGCTGTGGTATGATTGCCAATGAGACATCTATCCACCAAAGTTCAAATGATGTGTCCATCATTGTAAACTTTTTGAAACATCTTCTCTGAAACTATTTCACCAATTTTTACCAAACTTGAACTGAATGATCCTTTGGTAGCTTTTTCTGTTTCTGCCAATCAACCCACATGGCCACAAAAAAACAACATAGGGATAAAATGTATTAATTGTCTAATATCTTGAAAACCATAACAGATACAGAAAATCCAACCAGAAAAAAATATTCAGAATGTCAAGAAATACCTACCTAAATATACCAAAATGATCAGATGTCTCATTATATGAGTTTTTGCCATTAAAATAAGACTTGGCTAATGTCAGTGTTTCTGCTTATTATCTTTAAAGCTTGATAGATGGGTAAAAACTGTAAACAACAAATATGATGAGCCATAGAGGATCTACCAAACTGCTATTATCACCGAGACCTTAGGATGTGTCTTTATACCAACTGAGACTACTGTACTTCATCATGTTATAGTTTTCTAAGATCGGCAGTATTGTCCTTAAATGAAGATTTTTACCAATTTTGAGTTTTTGCCGGTTAGATGAACATATTAATAGATAGGTAAAATCTGTAAACAGCAAAAAAATGGTCAGCATAACAATATCAACTAAACTGCCAAAATGACCAAAACCAAAGAATGACTGGCTTTATAGTTGTTGCCCTTAATAGAAGATTTATGACTAATTTTCGATTTTTTGTCTATTATCTCGTTTATTTGATAGATGGATAGAAACTATAAACAGCAAAAAATGACCAGAATTAGAAGATCTACAAAATTGCTGAAATTACCATAACCATTGAATGAATCCTTATAGGATAGTACTACCCTTAAATGACTGTTCGACTTATTTTCGAGTTTTTGCCTGTTATCTTGAAAACTTTAACAGTATCCTCTTGTTTGTATACATATAAGCATAATTCAATCTGCCGTTATTCAAAATATTCTCATCATCAGCCTTGTGAAGTTTTGAGTTTTGACACCTGTACAAACATCAGGGAAATTGTTTAAAAAAGAATCATTGTTCATGTATTCCCCATAGGATCCTTTATGGAACTATAAAATATTAAAATCACAATATGGTGTAGGACCAATCAAGGCTTATTTTTACTAAAAGTTCAAATATTCAGTATTTTGTTACCAAAACAGTGAAGTTGGATCCAGTCTTATAATATAATTCATAATTGCTTCCACATGGAATCTCGAATCTAGACCAAATCCAAATCTTCTTTGTTAATTTTCTGCAACTTCTGGTCTAATTTGGACAGGCAGATTCTATTAATGAACACAACTTAAAATACTAGACAAGGAGAAAAATTTGAAAGTACCGAAGGCACCATCAGAAATCATGAAATGTTGGAAAATAGACAGCCATGACCAATTTAAATGATAAACATAAAACATAATTCACAGGATGAACGGAAGTGAATAAGATAAGATAAGATAAGAATTTTATTAATCTAATCAAGAACCTATAAAGGGCATCATTTACAACAATATTAAGCACAATATGATAGCAAAAAAGAAAAACTAGATCCTAATATAATACTATCATATTATGGACAGGATCAGAGCCTTACACATCATGTGTCTTACATAACTATAACAATAATTTCATAATAATTAAATATTATTTTATATATTTTGTATCCACCTGGATCTTATTTCTAAACACTCAATTATATAATTGCCTAGGCACATAAGAGTTGGTAAATGCTCATTTGTGAACAGCCAGAAATATTTTTTATCCTTGGGTAATTCTTTAAAATTATTACAAAAACTGTTTACTTTATCCCATAATAATTTTCTCTGTTCGTTATATAAAGGACAACTTACTGTGAAATGGGTCTCATCTTCAATAGAATTTGATCCATGTGATAGGCAGTGATGACATAGACGCTGACTTCTCTCTATGTATTTTTTACTATATCTGTCTATCTCAATTTTAAGATCATGTGCACTTATGGTCCAAGGACACAGTTATCGTCCTTTGGTTTTCGTTGTCTACGAATATAGCCCCTAGTGTGAACAGTGTATAACTTGCATTTTTTTTTATACACTTTCCAAATTTATTTCTTGATATTTTATGCATGAAATATTAAGTAAGGGGATGAAATTACATGTTAAAAAAATTTGGGTGCTGAATCTTTATGTTAAGTAGTGATTGGGTCCAGTTAAAAAAGGTCAAAAATTAGAATGTCGGAAGCTGTCAAACTGAATTTTAGCCCCCTTAACACAGAATTGTCAATATTTTGAGTTAGAGCTGGTAGAAGTTTCTATAATTTTGATATTATTTGTATCAATAGTAGTACACTACACTGTAAAAATCTTTTTGAGATAGAGCAGGTGCGATTTTTTTAATTTGAATTTATTGTCTAAAAGAAATGCACTACGAAATAACTGTGTTCTCGGGCCTTATTCTCAATTTACATATAGCTCTTCTTATATTAAAATCTTTAATTGATAAATAAGCCTCCTTTACGAAGTCAGTCTTGAGATTGAAATAATTTTCTAATTTACTATTACCTTGTGATAAGGTATCAGATCTTTTGACCACCCAAAATGTTTTAAAACTGTTACAAAGTTTACATTTTACAAATTTAATTAATTTATTGAGCTTTGTATTCAAATTTTGTATATCAAGTGATTGAAGGACATATCTCATAGATGAATACCAACAATTAATGTTTCCTGCATCTAAAATTTTATTACAAACATAAGCATCATAAAGTAACCCATCGTCCAATTTGTTAAGCCTGAGTACATATTTTACCATAGATATAATGACAGAAAAATAAAGAGGAAATCTTGCAACCTCTGATAACACTGCCAAATTTGAGGCTTTTTTATTTACACCAAGAATATATTTTAGATACCTGAAATGTGATTTTTCCAAATAATCATTTATGTAAATTAATTCAAATAGATAATCACTTTTTTTCTTGCAAGCAGCAGAGTTAATCTTAAAAGTACCCCAGATTTCACTACAATATAATAAAATCGGTTTTATTGTGTGATCATATAAATGGATTGCAGTATCAATACTTGGATTACAAGCTGACATGGATTTTTATACGACCGCAAAAAATTTTTTGTGGTCGTATATTGGTATGACATTGGCGTCGTCGTCCGGCGTTGTCGTCGTCCGAAGACGCATTAGTTTTTGCACTCTAACTTTAGTTTAAGTGAATGGATCTCTATGAAATTTTACCATA